ACGAAATATAAAATTAATATTAATTTTTTCAATGYAATAAAATTGTATTAATTGTATTAATTAAACGACGGTTATTAAGTAAAAACATTTTTTAAATGGTTTTTTTTCTTAATCAATGTCAATAAATCCTATCATGTCACAAAGTCGTTATACTTTTATGAGTAGGTAAGGTATGTTTTAAAAATGTATAATATTATAAAGATATGCCACTTATCCTTTATCAACATTTTTAATATTACAAAACTAAACACTTATTCATGACAGTAAATAGGTAATTAGTAAAAATTCTGGGTTATACTTTATTTTGTTTTTCAACTTTAGATTTGTAAATCATCAATAGTTACCTTCCCACCTATATTTCCTTTTTGTGCGTAATACCGCAACCATCGAATGTTAGTTTGAATGTAATAACTAATAACTATTATTTGTGCATATTATATAGACTATAGGAGACTGGTTAGAAAAATACAAAACTATATTCATGAACATTACCATAAATTATTATGAACTGCTTGCATCTTTTAACATTTAAATTTTAAACAGTTTATTGTAAAGTAAAAAAAACTATTTACGTATCATTGAGAATACATCTAACCTAGTATAACTGCGTGTTACTATGTCGATAACACGCCGCAGGTATACATTTATAGTATAATATGTATCTGTATTATATTGTATCAGTTCCTATATTAAACGTAAAATATTATAATTATTTAACAATATTATTCCACGGTCCAATTAACGGTAAACCTTTTTTTATTTTATTCATAATGAATAATGATATATCATTATGATTCCCACACTGACCAGTGGCCACACTTCAGTCGAATATCTGATGATTAGAACGTCAATTAAATGAAATATTGTGTGCAACATAAGTGCTTATACCTATAATGAGCTGATTCATATGTATAAAAAAAACATACCTACTTTCTGTAACACAAATATAAATTAAAATAATTATTATGTACCTATATAGGATCTTATTATATAATATAATGTATATATACATTTTGTAAGTTGAATAATTTAATATTATATAATATAATATGTACTTATCATTAATATTATTTCTAATATATAGTTTTTCATAACTATACGTCTATTCAACAATTGTATATAATGTATACACAATCGTAAAACATTAATCAATGCTGACCGGATACTAACTGCAATACATCAACAAAGTTTGAAAATCGAAAAAAAAATGTTTTTTTATTCAAATGGCTTCTTTGACCTTTAACCTAACGATAGAATTATCAGCAACGTGAACCCCTGCACTTGCATACAATGAAATCGATCTAACAGAGCACCGCGGCAATCCCTTATTCTTGTCCCTGAATATTGCATAGTATAAAAAATTATCTAACAAACCTTTGAATGCTATATTCACTAAAAACTCATCGTGTCAATAACGTTCATATGAACTTTTCTTTAAGTGTTAAGAAGTTATATTTAAAAGTCGAAAAATATTTTTTTTTTTGGAAAAGTTGTTTTTATTAGAGATTCGTTAAACCATTTTATGCAGTAGCAAAATAAAATAAGTAATTTAATTTGGTTTAATTCATTTATATAGATAGATATAGGTATCACATAAAATCACTATGATTTTTTATTACGTACATCAAATACATATAATATACTGAAAATTGTTTAAACATAAAATATATTCTTTTTCATTTCTTGAAACTGTTTTTGCGTAGGTACGAGCTTTATAATAATAATAAATATMAAAATTATTAGTGTTCAAAAGAAATTTGCTGGGGTTGATTTTTAGTAGAAGCAAGGAAAAACATTTAAAGTTATGGCTTATACTAAATATTATTAAATTAATACGTTGTTGTATTAGCGCATGTATAATACATAAATAAAATAATTTGTTAGTAACAAAAGCATAAAATGAGCCAATTTTAGTGTCAAAAATGTTAGTATAATGTGTTAATAAGCATTTTTATTGTTATTACCTATAGCGTTTTACTTAATATACAATAGTGTTAATTTATGTTATGCAAAATGTCAAAATGTTAAGTTTTTAAAAGTTAGTTTTAGTTGAAACGCAAGAAGAACAATTTTAATTCTATTAGCAAATTAGTTTGAAATAAAAAAAAAACCCCTATCATATTCTTATGAATTAAAATATTTAATTTTAATAGGATGTAATATAATTATTTAATGTATAATTCAAATGTACAAATGTTTTTAATTTTAAGTTTTCACTAAAAATATTTAGTGATAAATTTTAAAAATATAGAAAAAATACATTTAAATGGCAAGGAAGAGAGTGCATAGTTATAAAATATTCACCGAAAGAATAACATGTCATAAAAATATCGTGGCTACTATTATAACCGCTAACCATATGTACAATATAAACACATTAAGAACTGCATTTTACTCCGAAAACACGCGATTTTTGCTTTATAGTTTATACGTTTTATATTAATGACGTAGGTTAGTATATATACAATATACGTATACATGATACATCATATTATATATACTGAATGAACACAATATAATATATTCGTTGTCCGCGGCGGTAGCAATGATGTAATTATACACGCSATAGTTATAACTACCGATATTATAATTTACAAATGTATACCTATTGTGATCTGTATAATCGTTAAAGCATATAGCGACGAAATCAGCTGTATCGATACACAGTCGGTTAACCGCTTTTTCTTTACTTTATAACATTCACAACGTATAGGTAAAATATAATATTATAATAGTCCTCCGCGGTTTATGGTCTGGTGATCAATCGTGTTGCTAATAACACAGACTGCATTTATACCAAAGCGCACGCGACTGGTATACACGTGTATTATGGTATATAATTTATAATATAATATATTATAATATATCTCTATGTCTACTGTGTATTGCATTATACCTATAGTACCTACGGACTTCCTGAAAATATAAATTTGTTGCATCATTAAAAATGTATTTATCTCAGCTGTCGACGTGCTTATAATAACAACAATAGGTATAGTAAAATAAAATTGGTATAATAATAAAATATATTATAACTTATACCTATAAGCGTAGCTGAAATGCATGGGGTTATGTCAACCTATAAAAACAATAAAACACCATGACCGCTGTTATAAAGGAAGAGGTACTTTATTATATTATAGAGTCAGTGCTAAATGGATGTACGGATATACCACACATATAATCGGAATATATGCTCACAAAAGGCGTTATCTAAGTATAATAGATGGAGTGTAGAAATGTCTCCCTATTTGTTATTTTATTGGAGATAAGAGGTTATGGGAGGTTATTCAAAAAATAGGTTAAAAAGGCCATATGGTCATTTTATCCCYCCTCCCCTCATTGTATGCTATCTTAAAAACACATTACTCCACCATTCCTAGGATTGCAGTATTTTTATTATAATGTRTGATATATGGTTGTACGTGATGGTTTGATAAATACAAATAATCTCATCAAAACGTTCTGGATGATATCGCTCACCTCGAAAATAAATTAAACGCGGAGTTTATGAACGCAACGTTACGCAACCCAGAGACCAAATTATACTCGGACATGCAATCATATCACGCGGCCAGTGGTATAATAGACCGATTTCCCGGATAGGCATTTGATAAAACGTTATACACTTATTGCACAGTCGTTGTCTTAATCGAAAAAAACGGGAATGTAACCGCGGGTATGTGACACTACATGGTGTAATAAGTAAAAACAGTAAAATCACTATTATAATATAAGGTTTACCTTTATGGCTATTATAGGTATACATGATACACAATAAACATATACACGTACTCGTATAATAATATAGATACCATATATTACACTATAGTTAATATGCGTGGATTTTAATGATTTTATTATAGGGTATACCGATAAATAATGATTGGTTTTAACTTTTAAAGACACTTAGGTTAGATACTCGTGGCACATATTTTTTAGGCACATACATAAATATTTAAATAAATACGTTATTAAGTTTAAATTGCAGCGAATTATAAATACTATACAAATAATAATAATAATAATAAATAGGTACATTACGGCTGTCGCATATAATATGTTACTGTGAATAAAGATATACGCTGACGCAATGCCAATCGTTAATATTGTTAATCAGTTATCACGTTATATCGTCCGAATAATGATGTCTCAAACACGCTGTTTAAAAATGTAATAGCGAAGAAGAAGAGATGTACTCTGGTCCAAACGTAATAATGTTTTATACAATTTATTTTTGTTTAGATTTACGAATATACAATATGTAGGTAGGTACTGTTTATTGGGTTAGAACTATTTTATTTTTTAAGCAAATAACACGAAAATAAAATCATTCAATCAGCAGCTATTTGCTTAGGAATATTAATAATATATCGAATGCATATAGCAGATATCATAATAATATATTATACGATAAAACCTATAAAATCTACTACAAACAAGATATTCTGCTTTTAAAATCATCAATCATCAATCATATAATATATTTTACGATGTTTTAGATTTGCGGTTAGGCGCATGTACCCTGGCCTCCAATCACGTTCTTATTTTGCGTGGGTGTCCGTCCGGATCTCCGGCGACCCGGGTCACGTACATCGCCTACCCTCCCAGCCAATAAAAATATAAATAAAACTAAGCCGTGTAAATAATAAATATAGTGAATTCGAAACTGCAGACGTGCGAATAAATGATATAATAAAACAAACAAAATATAATAAGACGAGGGGACGGTCGCAGGAAGCCGTCATCGCGGTGGATCGTCGTACCAGATGGTACCCAGAA